ATCTACAGGACGTAATTTTCAAAAATGGAAATTTCATCATTGTGACGTCCCTAAACACAGCCTTCGCTCGCTCCTCGCTGCTTCGTTCGGGTGTCGCCGCTCCAAACGTGACGTCCGCCTGTCGCGTCAGTCGTGTTGTCTCGTCCTGTGACGACCAACTGGCTTGGTATCGGTCGCGGCACCCAAATGTGACGTTCTAACCTTTTGGTGATTCGGATGGGAATCTGGTTAGATTCGATATCAGCCTCGTCGTTTCCAATTCGCTTCCAACGCCTGGTTACCAAAGTAACTGCGTTGATCTCTAGTCCGCCTACCCACGTTGTGAATCGATCTTAGGCAGACGAAATCAATCAGTCGTTGGGGCCGCAATGCAAGTTGGGTCCAAGCGGGGGTGGTATCGCACAAATACGTATAAAAAAACAAAATGATAACTCAAAAGTTCAAGGTATCAAAGAAAAGGATAACAAACTTTATGTCTAGTTGTTGGATACATAGGACTGCGTCTATCTCCCGACCCGTTCTATGGATTGTGACACGTTGTTTTCCGTTAGGCGAGTTTTAACACTTCAAGTTGTTTGCTCTTTAAGAAATTGGTTTTTCGGTGTGTCTTCGGGCGAAAGTCGAAAAAAACTTATTTTGGTGGTCTGGATCTAAGTCGCTCTTCAAAATAATTGTTCTTGGATTGAAGAGGAGTTCGGAATTTGCGCGAATCTTGGTCAGCCGATGCGAGGCTTCACTGGAGACTGACTCTGGGAACTGTCTCTCCCGAACTCAACTCTGGAACTCGAACTGGAACTGAACTGTATCTCTGCTGGAACTGTCTTATATGGACGCCGACCAAAACCGGGGTGGGTTTGTCGGCGCCGTGGGTTCCCCGATAATTCTAAATACATATCCACTTCTTTTATTTTTGGTTAGGAATTTTCCACTTCTTTCCATTTTTGGGAGCCCTCTCTTACTCCCACCTTCTCACCATACTTCAGAGGGGCGTGAACTGCCCTCCCCACTTCCTCGCAGCAACCTCTCATACCCATCCTCTAGATGGGCGGCGACAGCTTCATCCTTGCGTCACGTGATCACCACTCGGCCAATGATGACCAGTCGGGCGTGTACGATCCCGCGGCTTTGTTTCAGGAAAAAAAAATATATCTCGCTAAAAAAAAAAACTATTTTACCCTGGTCTCATCTGGACATCGTCAGTCAAATTATCGCTAATTATCAGAATGGGTGGTCTATTTAACACGGCCAGACCGTCGCCTCGAAAAGAAACATTTCTAGGTTTCCATTCATTCTTTGGTACACATTTCTGATAACATAGTTTTATTATCGCAGGCTAAAGATGTTCTATCGAAAGAAAACGGCCAGTCGCCACCTCGTGTGCGGCTTTGACACAATTAATTTTTCATATCTATCCAAAGCCCTGTAGTCCACCTGTTTTTTGTCAATTATCAAAATAACATTTTCAATTGGATTTTTCTTTGGCTAGTCGGTCTGTGGTTTGCTAATCAGATGCCTTCCCGCATTAGCGGCGTGTTTATGTATCCCCGATAACACCAGCCCGTCGCCAGAACACACCTGTTTCCCTTATCCACTTAGAATTTTTTTTTTTTGCCATTGTAATGACACTCTTCGCCATTTGTTACTTATCAAAATATCCTTTATCCATTGTCTCTTCGTCGTGGGGGTTCTACTTGTCATCCACGCTTTGGGTCTCGCCTCTCTTTTCCTTTCTTTTCTTTTTGCCTTGGTAAATGGTGTCGCATCATTGTTTCTTAAATGGCATGTTTTAAGGTTTCAATTACCATGAATAAAATATTCCATCACTCTTGGGGTTATTGGATTGTTAAAAGTTCCCGTTTTTTAGGGGTCACCCTGTATAAATGTACTAGAATTGGCTCTTACGTTTTATAGGTTACGCAAACGTATTTGAAAATCTACGGGACAACAGTCTGTTTGAATTGCTAGGAAAATACGATCTATTTCGAAATAGTGTACATAATACCTCATCTCAGAAATATAGACAGATACTGAAAGGCCGAAAGGTTGTAATAAATATGGCGATAAAGATGAGGACAATAGTCCGAATATTGTAAATAGTGTACATAATACCTCATCTCAGAAATATAGACAGATACTGAAAGGCCGAAACGTTTTAATAAATATGGCGATAAAGATGAGGACAATAGTCCAAATATTGTAAATAGTGTACATAATACCTCATCTCAGAAATATAGACAGATACTGAAAGGCCGAAACGTTGTAATAAATATGGCGATAAAGATGAGGACAATAGTCCGAATATTGTAAAAAGTGTACATAATACCTCATCTCAGAAATATAGACAGATACTGAAAGGCCGAAACGTTGTAATAAATATGGCGATAAAGATGAGGACAATAGTCCGAATATTGTAAATAGTGAATAACTCATCTCAGAAATATAGACAGATAAAAGGCCGAATATTAAATGTAAAAAGATGAGGACAATAGCCCGAATATTGTAAATAGTGTGCATAATACCTCATCTCAGAAATATAGACAGATACTGAAGGTCTGAAACGTTGTAATAAATAGGGAGACAAAGATGAGGACAATAGTCCGAATAATGTAAATAGTGTACATAATACCTCATCTCAGAAATATAGACAGATACTGAAAGGCCGAAACGTTGTAATAAATATGGCGATAAAGATGAGGACAATAGCCCGAATATTGTAAATAGTGTGCATAATACATCATCTCAGAAATATAGACAGATACTGAAGGTCTGAAACGTTGTAATAAATAGGGAGACAAAGATGAGGACAATATTCCGAATAATGTAAATAGTGTACATAATACCTCATCTCAGAAATATAGACAGATACTTAAAGGCCGAAACTTTGTAATAAATTTGGCGACAAAGATGAGGACAATAGTCCGAATAATATAAATAATGTACATAATACCTCATCTCAGAAATACAGACAGATACTGAAAGGCCGAAACGTTGTAATAAATAGGGCGACAAAGATGAGGACAATAGTCCGAATAATGTAAATAGTGTACATAATACCTCATCTCAGAAATATAGACAGATACTGAAGGTCTGAAACGTTGTAATAAATAGGGAGACAAAGATGAGGACAATAGTCCGAATAATGTAAATAGTGTACATAATACCTCATCTCAGAAATATAGACAGTTACTGAAGGTCTGAAACGTTGTAATAAATATGGCGACAAAGATGAGGACAATAGTCCGAATAATGTAAATAGTGTATACAATACCTCATCTCAGAAATATAGACAGATACAGGACGTGGGTGGTTTGCTACAATGTATGTGGCATGACGTCTCTTAATGTGAAGTTTTGCTCTGGCAGAACCAATTAATTTTTTTCGACCGAGCACTTTTCATGGAAGTAGGTATTTACCCTCTCCTCCACGCAGCAAGATGTGGCCCAACACCGCGTTTTATCGTGGTGTATCCGAGCCCGTAGGCTTGGGCAAAAATTACCTGTAGACTTCATAAAAACGGAGTCAGTTTCCCGAGACGAGAATCTGCTCTTCGACATAGCCTCGTCTGGGGGATACCCTCTGACCTGTGCCAGGTGAGTAAGTAGCGACAGAGAAGTGATAGGTCTCCACATCCCACCTGTGAGTGAGAGGGTGGGAATAATTTCGTTTCGCAGAAGGACTCGAAGACGTTTTTGAACTATATCAAGTCTTGAAAGTAAAGACTGGACAGTTCCCGCCCAAATATGACAACTCTTTTTTCGGTTTGATCTGCCTCTTTGCCGGCTATAAAAAGTGTCGTTGTTATATTAATATTTGTAAGTGGGAACAATTCGTCATTTTTGCGGCTATAGTAGGCATCTTGCTATATAATTATATGTAGCTAGGAAACGACAGTTATTCCCCTTGAATAGTTACTCTTCTGTGTAAAACAGACGCCATCTTGTTTATTAAGCAATCAATATACATGCACATTTGAGTTGAATAAAGTCATGCAAGAAGATTCTGTTTACATGACAGTTTTTTTATTTTTATTTTTATTTTAATTCTTTGAAGAATGAGTTATTTTTTTATGATCATCATTACTTTATCTGACTCAGTCGACTTTATATTTCAAACAAAAATTGCCCTTGTTTTTTAACTCTTTATCTATTCTGTCGTTTTCCTCCATTTTATTTATTTATTTTATTTTATTTTATTTTTTGCTACCTTATCTTTTCCTCCATTTTCTGGTTCCATTATTTCTTTTTCGTTCTCATGTCGGAATTTCGTTTCTTTCTTTCTTATTTGTCACAAGAAAAAAATGACAGCTTAGAATTTTTTAACAGGTCTTGAACGTGTTTAAATCAACACAACAACAAACCACAAAAGAAAAGCTGTCGTAAAGAATCCAATACCGAACAAAGAAATCTCAAAACAAAAGAAAGTTTGCTTTAAGAGTAAACTCATAAGAAACGACCAGTAAGCGAATATAAAATAGTTTAAAGCGGCTTTTTTCTCGGTTGTTTTTATGCTTTATTACCTGCATTAAAGAAAGACGTTTTTTTTTTTTTTTTTTTTATTCATCTTTTGTCTCTCTCGTGAGCGAGAAGTAAGTGCAAAGGTCGGGAAAAATAATAATGGCGGAGAAAAGAAACACTCAGAAGGTAGGTAAGCCGAGGTTAAATTCCTTGTTTTGGCAGAGACAGGGGGCGCTGTGTATGCGGCGTTAGGGGAAAAAAAATCTAAGGCGTTTGATAAAAATTATGGGTTTAAGGATGGCAATTACCATAAATAAATACGCTCAGACCACATGAAAGAGGGGATAAATCAGAGCCAGAATAGGAACCAAAAAAATAAAAAGAAAGAATCGGCGAATATAACAGAAACAGAAAAAGGAAAAGAATAAAGCAGTAAATAATAAAGACACGTCAAAAATTGGTATATTTAAAAAATAATTACTAAAACCGCAGCCACAATTGTTAGGCAAATCAATTGTTAAAAGAGTAAAATATCTCCGCATATTCATGGATTTATATCTAGCTAGCTATCTAGTAGCCTTACCTTATTTATTTATTTCTATCTATCTATCTATCTATCTATCTATCTATCTATCTATCACTTTCATGGTTTGTTCATATCTCTCTCATCACTCTCTCTATCTATCTCTATTTCCCTCTCTCTCTATACATATATATATATATATATATATATATATATATATATATATATATATATATATATATATATATATCATGGTCTGTTTATATCTATGTATCTACCTGTCTATCAAGATATACCTATCATGCTCTGTTCTTTTCTCTCTATCTATTTCTATAAAGGTCTATTCATTTCTATTTATCTGCCCATGTGTCTCTCTCTATCATGGTCTCTTCATATCTAATTATCTATCTACGTTTAATTTTTTCTTCTTTTTCTTCTCTCTCTCTCTCTCTCTCTCTCCCTCTCTCTCTCTCTCTATCTATCTATCTATTTCTTCAGGCATAGAAATTATTTTGTTTTATGTAAAATTCAGGTAGTATTCGAGACGAAAAAATATAATGCGAATCGAAATATATATATATATATATATATATATATATATATATATATATATATATATATATATATATATATATATATTGTTGTTAAACGGATACAAACTTTTGGATCGTGCAGTCACAACGCTAAGGCTGAATTTTTTTTTAATTTAAGTGAGTGTGATTTTTACAAATATGGCAATTTAAAAAAGAATATTTCGATTCGCATTATATTTTTTTATTTACAAAAAAAAAAAAATTACATGCCTGAAGATGACTGACTGTACATTCGAAAGTACTTGCGTATTTCAGAAAAAAACTTATACAGCTTATAAATTAAAAACAAAACAAAAAAAAACAAGAATCATAACATTCATCGAATGATTTGTAGGTTAATGCATCTTTAAAATTTTGTTAGCGAAGGGATTTCGCCATTTTATATCATTAACTTTACTATAAATAGGCCTATGGGATTTACCGTGATTAAACAACTACGCTAAATTCAGACTCACCGAAATTTCTTTTCATAATATAGGTCAAGAAACGTGCATATAAACCCTAGACAATTTCATTATATACAGTAAATGGTTATGTAAAATGTATAGAGTTCTGGCGTTCAACTTTCCTATGAAGTAAAAATCGAAAGAGGTAGGAAGGTAATTATCAAAAATTAAATTATATATATATATATATATATATATATATATATATATATATATATATATAATGAGAAGCCATGTATAATTTCTTAATATATATTTATATATATATATATATATATATATATATATATATAAAAACAACTAAAAATTTTTATGAAATTATTCATTTATATTTGATATTTCAGAGATCGATATATATATATATTTATATATATATATATATATATATATATATATATATATATATATATATATATATATATATCGCACACTGAGAATTGGTGCTAATAAAGTAATAATATCGTATCCGATGTATATGATAGCCATTAAAGCAATACTTTTCATGTTAGCTCTTTTCATTGAGAATCTTTCTGACCGTATGAAAATTCTATTTGCGGATAATAGTAAATATGATATATATATATATATATATATATATATATATATATATATATATATATATATATATATATATATATATATATATATGCACAATACAAGTAAATGTTTCAGAGTCATGTTAATAATATGACAGCTGTCAGAGATTTGCCATAATTCAAAGTAGAATTTACAAATTTTTTTTTCGAAATTTACAGTAGGTGTTAAGCGTCGAATCTGCCCAAATTAAAATCCTTATTTTCGTTGCTTGGAACTTTTTTTATTTCATTTACATTGCAGTACGCTCCGAATATTACGCCTCCAATCTCCTCTTCTTCTTCTTCTACTTCTTTCAACTTCTTTTTCTTCTTTGTTTTCTGCTGTTTCCTCTTTTTCTTCTTTTCTTCAAGATTTTCCTTTTCTTCTTCTTTCACTTCTTTTTCTTCCTCTTTCTTTTTTCTTGTTCTTTTTGTCTTATTCTGATTCTTTTTTTCTTCTTCCTCTTTGTCTTTTTCGTCTTCTTTTTCTCCTTCTTTTGATTGTTCTTTTTCTTTATCTTCCTCTTCTTTTTCTTTCTTTTATTTCTTCTCCTTCTTTGTCTTTTACTGATTTTTCTTTTTCTTCTTTTTCCTTATCTTCTTCTTTTTCTTCTTCTTCTGATTCTTCCTTTACTTCTTCTTCCTCCTCTTCTTTTTTCTAATTTTGTCTTCTTTTTGGGCATCTTCAGTTTCTTTTTCTTCTTTTTTTTTTCATCTTCTTTTTCTTCGCTTTCTTTATTTTTGTGATTTTTTTTTTGCTTTTTATTTCGTCTTTTCATTTTGCGACTTCGGATTTCGGTGTCACATTTTCTATCCTCTCTTAAAATGCTTTCCAGTTATTTGAACTTAATTGACGTTGGCCTATTAAATTCATAGTTCTTAATTTACAGGTAACCATGTGTCATGTCCTCTCACAACTGATACTTAGTACTTTCTTCGGGCTTTCTTATACTACTTTTTTACAAGAGGTTCCATCGTCTTGCTTCTCTGTTTGCCTTCAAAAGACTGTCATCAGCGCTTCATATATTAAGATTTGGGATGCTGAAATATACATCCTGCCGCTAGTATAAAACTTATACAGGTGGAAGAAAGAAAGTTTTTCTCCACGATTTCCCTATGTGAAGTCACATATAATATTACATCAAGGATATATACAGAACACGTAACATATATGTATTAAGGAAGGCATGAACCCCGTTCTCCTTGTGTTCTATACTCTTCCCATTTAGATATGAAGATTAAAATATCATCAAGGAAAACTAAATCCATAAAGTTCGATTTTCGTCAGAGGATGCTTATTTCGCATTAGGAAAGGCATGAATTAACTTCTCCCTGGACCATATTCAGTTCACATTTAGAGATGATGTATAATGTAATAGTTATCATCATATGAATCAGAATTTATAAATATTTCGGGTGGGACAGTTTATTTTCACTTAATATTAATACTATTGTAAAAGGCATGAATCTAATATCCCTGTTCTCCGTTTACTTCTCGATTAGTGAATTAACATTTCATAAGGATTTCAAAAGTGAAAGTGAAATGAGTTTAAATTAAGTCAGAGTTTATTGATTTTCACTTGGGAAAGGCATGTGTCCACCTCTCCCTGTGTGTTGTCGAATTATCATTTACACGTATCAAATAGTGAAATTATTGTCATAAATCGAGTTTGATTTACGCCTGAAACTAAGCGCGTTCCCTTTGGCACAAATTTAAAATATATATATATAATATATATATATATATATATATATATATATATATATATAATCGCTTTCCTTTTCACACTAGTTACTTGCCAAATTTACCTCGTCGCTAGCATATCACCATGATTTACAGAAAATAGATGACAATGCTGAGCCAAATTCTGAAGGTTATGTTTCCGCAGACAGTAGGTCCAACAAAAATATTTCACTAATTTACAATGGTGACAGGTAATGTGAATATGGTCTGAAAAATATTCACCATATCATCATCATTATTAATACCATAACCATAATTGGTTAACCATTATTAATTCCATAACCAGAATTGACCATTATTAATATCATAAGCATAATAGGGTCGATAAACAGATGAGCACCTGACCGTCTCCTTTCATTTGTCGGGATTGGATTTCAATGACGAGATCACTGTGAATGCTCTTCCAGTCAACTTAGGAATGGTGTCAGACTATTTGTCCCATTTTTGCCTCTATAGCGAAGAAAATGGCGACTTAGCCCGCGAACCTAAGCGACAGCGCGTCGGATGTATCTTACGACGGAAAATGTGGCGAAAAAGAAAATTATTTACCAAAAAAAAACAAAAAAAAACCGACACGTATTCCGCATGGTATGCTATTTCGCGACCGTTATCGGCGCATAGTAATCTTCTATGTCAAAATAACAAAATATCATTTTCGACAGTGGATATCATAGTTTCATGTCTATATAAACACTCTGAGGATGGCTGATGTGAGCCGAAAGCTTACGACCAAATTAATAAAAAATATCCAAATGTTTGGCAATTTTTGTCTTTATTTTCACCCGAAACATTCGAACGGCTCATAATTAGACGTAATAGACATTCATTGTCTGTTATATTTAATAATTTATACTTAAATATATATATATATATATATATATATATATATATATATATATATATATATATAATATAGAAGTCAACACTTAGAGGCCTATAAGTGTTGACTTCTATGTTCACTTTTATATTTACACACGCTCTATCTCCGATATTGAGCACTTTATCCCATAAATATAGCACACCTTAAGACTATATTTCTTCATATATATATATATATATATATATATATATATATATATATATATATATATATATATATAGTTTCACCCATAGCAAGCCATCAAAGCCATTAAGACACAGATAGGCAGATAAGGCGTTACTGACTGTAAAAGAGGAAAAGAAAAAGAGAAACATTATTAAGGTGAGACAAAATAAACACACTGGAATTATGAAAACAGTAGAAAATGATTGACGTGGCATTTACATATTTGAAGATCAAATTTGGCAGGAATGCAAAAGGCCGAAAGTGAATTCCACAAGTGAAAAGTGCTAGAGAAGAAACTGTTAGTATAGAACTTACGGTTACAATAGCTATTTCAACCTTAAAATGATGAGACTTTGTTGATAATCTCGTATTGCGTTTAAATACATAAATCTACATACCATAAAGAAAATTTGATCAGAATAAATATCATGAAAATATTTATGGAAAAGACACAGGGAAATCCCGTTAGGAAAGTGTTTGAAGCCAAAATGACAAATTGCTGTGGTGTCCTCCCTCTTAAGAGTCTATGTTAGACTCTTCCGCCTACTATAAATTTAGTAGGAAAGAACGCTCGGGGAACAGTCAACTGAATAGAGTGCGCGCTAGTTCATTCGATACACTCTCAATAGTCGTGTTCCGGTATACTTACTGTTTAATATACGATATATCTGCAAACCTGTTTTTTTTTTTTTTGATATTACGTAACAGTTTGCTTGGTCAATACACAAGTCAAGATCAGTATCATTGCAGATTTTTCTTTGGATATTAACAAGAATCTTTAAATATATAGCAGGAACACCAGAGCATGTGTGGCAGCAATATTCAAACATGGACGAGTGGTAGATTTACAAATACGTAAGATATGTTCGGGCGAGAAAAGATTTGCTATTAATATGTTTTGTTAGAGTTAAGTATTTCAAGCCCACGTTCTTAATTATGTGTCCAAGATATTACTGTTGCCTTTATTTATATTTTTTTTCATTCTTGGGAGGATTTTCCAGCACTCACTGCTATATACATCACATAGCAATTTAGCATTCTTTTCTTTGTTTCTGACGAAATACTTTTCTTTCTCAGAACCTTAGCTTTTGAAATACTTATTTCGCTAGCCCAGCGCATATTTGTATCCCACTGTTGCATTTTTCCATCCCTTGCAATACATTTGTTCCAGCTAATGCAGTTCACAACTTTCTCTTACGTATTGCTCACAGGATACGTGCACCGAGGCCCACTCAGATTTGAGGGTTATTAAACGTGGCTGTTATCTGAGCTTTAAAAGAGAGTGTTAAAATCCGATGAGGTCTTTCCAGAGGGTTGAATCTTATTGCATACCAATTTTCCATTTTGCCATTTATTTGCCTAATGCTATAATTATATTTGTTAATTATTAATTACACGCAAGACAGTAGTTTACGCCAACAAAAACTGTTTGAATGAATAAAACAAAATCGACTTTAGAGAAAAATATAATTATATTTCAAATAAATTTTCTTTTTTAAAGACGCAAGGGACAATGAATCCAAGTGAAAGAGAAGGAAGAATTTTGAGATAGCCTATCGAGAAAAAAGGTTTCAGAATTTAAACAAAGAAATTAGTTGTTATTCTGAAATTAGACGAAGAAAAGAAGAGAATTATATGTCAGAAAAAAAAAGTCATTTAAAAATGAAAGAAAAAAAAACTGGGAACACAAAAATCCCAATGATAATAATAAAAAGGTAAGCCTAAGTGAAGTCAGGAATTATGTCCACAAAAATAACAGCGAGTGAGAGAGAAGAATAAGCCAGGCTTAATGAGGTATACGCGACTAAGAAGCTAAACGTGATCCGCGAAGAGAAGAAGTCTGCGGTTGGGACATTCTAAGCTTTCCTTTTCCGGAACCTTTTGCGGGAACGTTGGAATGAAAGAAGCCAGAGGAATGATATACATTCGACTAGAGTCGGAAAATAGCAGGACAACCGTAAGGAAAAACATCCTAAACTGGCAGTCAATATGTCTGCGACAGAGGACATTGTTTTTCTGTAAAACCTGATCATATTTTTGAATGGCTTCTTGCCAGAAGACATTCAAAGTAAGACCAAAAGAAAAAAAAATGGTCGGGGTTGGAGAGAAACAAAAAATACATCATGAAAATGACTAAAAAGAGAAAAAAAAAACATGCCGGCTAAAGAGTCGTATAGAATGGTGACAATTCAAGATGGCGGTCTATTTTTCTTCATCTTTTTCTTTTTCTTCTTCTTCGTCTTCATTTTTCTTTTATTTTCTTCTTCTTTTTTCTTCTTCTTCTTCTTCTTCTTCTTCTTCTTCTTCTTCTTTATGCTTCGTATCTTTGGAGATCATGACAGACCACAATAGCTTTTGTTAAATTTTGTCTTTTTGCTATCTATCTCAGACTCTGTTCCGCCATCCATTCTTAAGACCGCCTGGTAGGTTGTGTGTTGTTTTCCACTGTCTCTCTTACCATCAGTCGGTCCTGTGAGTATCAAATTTTCCAAACCATCTTTCCCCATAATGAGACCTAGGAATTTCACATGTCCCTTTCAAGAATCAATGGTGGTGTTTGTGTGGTAGTTAGAATTCTTTGTCTTCCTCCTCGTATTCGTATTCCTGGTAGACAAAAGAAATTCTAGCTACCACATTGTTTCTTGAAAATAACTGCTATGGCGGAAAGTAATTGATCAGAACAATAAGAAAATATGTAATTCAGACAGTTTCTCCAAAACTTGGAGCTTAATACTCAGCAAGATATTCGCCAATTGGTAAATATAATAAAAATTAAACAAACACACCTTGTATTAGTCGATAAAAAGAATTACACGAAACACACTGTGTATTTTCCGAAATGTCGCTACGTGTTATTCACAGCTGTTACCTAA